GCAAAGTGTAATCTCAGGGTCAGTTTGATTTGCATTTCTCTTATGACTAAGGACGTTGAACATTTCTTTAAGTGTTTCTCTGCCATTTGGTATTCCTTTATTGAGAATTCTGTTTAACTCTGTACTCCATTTTAATGGGTTTGTTGCTGTTTAACTGCTTGAATATTTCATAGATTCTCGATATTAACCCTCTGTCAGATATAGGGTTGATGAAGATGCTTTCCCAGTCTGTAGGCTGTCTTTTGGTTCTGATTACACTGTCTTTTGCTTTACAGAAGATTTTCAGTTTCATGAGGTCCCATTTATTGATTGTTGCTCTTCGAGCCTGTGCTGTTGGTGTTCTGTTCTCCTGTGCCAATGAATTCATGAATCTTCCCCAATTTTTCTTCTAACAGATTTAGTATGTCTGATTTTATGTTGAGGTCTTTAATCCACTTGGACTTTAGTTTTGTGGAAGATGATAAATATGGATCTGTTTGCATTTTTTCTATATGTAGACATCCAGCACCATTTGGTGAAGATGCTGTCTTTTTTTCCATTGTATGGTTTTTGTTTCTTTGTCAAAGATCAAGAATCCGTAGGTGTGTGGGTTTATTTCTGGGTTTTTTATTCGATTCCATTGATCCACCATTCTGTTTCTATGCCAGAACCATGGAGTTTTTATTAGCCTTGCTGTATATTGCTTTTACTATGTTTAGGTATGTGCCTTGTATCCCTGATCTCTTCAAGACTTTAAACATCTCCTTTTCAGCACCTAAGGAGATGATCATATGTTTTTTTTCTCCTTCAGTATGTTTACATTGATGAATTTCTGTATATTGAACCACCCCCTGCATGCCTGGAATTAAGCCAGTTGGTCATGGAGGATGATATCTTTTATGTGTTCTTGATTTGGTTTGCAAGTATTTTATTGAGTATTTTGCATCAAAGAGAGGTAGGTTTGAATTTCTCTTTTTTTGGTTCTTTGTGTGGTTTAGGTATCAAGGTGAGTGTGGCTTCATAGAATCAGTTAGGTAAAGTCCCTTTTGTTTCTATTTAGTGGTACAGTTTGAAGAGAATTGGAGTTAGCTCTTCTTTGAAGGTCTGGTAGAATTCTGTGCTGCAACTTTCTGGTCCTGGCCTTTTTTTTTTTTTTGGAATGGTGACTTTTGATGACTGCTTCTATTTCTTTGGGGGATATAGGACTATTTAATCTATTTATCTCATTTTGATAAATGGAGTCTATCAAGAAAATTGTCTATTTCATTTAGATTTTCAAATATTGTGGAAGATAGTCTTTTGTAGCAAGAGCTAATGATTGTATGGGTTTCCTCAGTGTTGTTATGTCCCCCATTTTGTTTCTGATTTTGTTGATTTGGATAGTTTCTCTCTACCTTTCAGTTACTTTGGCTAAGGGTTTGTCTATGTTGTTGATTTTCTCAAAAAACCAGCTCATGGTCTCATTGATTCTTTGAATTGTTTTTTTTTTTTGTTTCTAATTCATTGACTTCAGCTGTGAATTTGATTATTTCCAATTGTCTACTCCTCTTGCGCGTGTCTGCTTCTGTTTTTTTTTTTTCCCCACAGCTTTAAGGTAGGCTGTTAATTTGCTTGTATGAGATGTCTCAAACTTCTTTCTGGAGGCACTTAATGCTTTCATTGTATCCCATAAGTTTGGGTAAGATGTGCCTTCATTTTCATTGAATTTTAGGAAATCTCTAATTCCTTTTTTTCATTTCTTCCCTGACTAAGTTATCATTGAGTAGAGAGTTGTTTAGTTTCCCTGTATATGTAGACGTTTTGTTATTTCTGTTGTTGTTGATGTCTAGTTTTAGGCTATGGGGGTCTGATAGGATACAAGGGATTATTTCAGTCTTGTATCTATTGAGGCTTGCTTTGCGCCCAGATATATAGTCAATTTTTGAGACGTTTCCATGAAGTCCTGAAAAGAAGTTATACTTTTTCTGAGTTTGGGTGAAAAGTTCTGTAGAGATTTATTATTTCCATTTGATTTAGGACTTGTGTAAGTGCCTTTAATTCCCTATTTGGCTTCTGCCTAGATGATCTGTCCTGTGGTGAGAGTGGCGTGTTGAATCTCCCACTATTAAGGTGATGGGATTGATGTGTGATTTCAGCTTTAATAATGTTTCATTTACAAATGCAGGTGCTCTTGCATTTGGGACGTAGATGTTCAGGACTGTAATGTCTTCTTGTTGGATTTTTCCTTTGATGAGAGTGAAGTTCCCTTCCTCATCTCTGTTGATGAATTTTGTTTGAAAGTCTATTTTATTAGGTATTAGGATAGCTACTCCAGCTTGTTTTCTGGTTCTGTTTGCTTGAAAAACCCTTTTCCAGCCCTTTACTCTGAGGTAATGTTTATCTTTGTTGCAGAGGTGAGTTTCTTGGATGTAGGAGATTTTTGAATCCTGTTTCTGCAACCACTCTGCTAGTCTTTGTCTTTTTATTGGAGAGTTGAGTCCGTTGATGTTGATAGACAATATTTGCCAGTGAATGTTAGTTCCTTTTATTGTGGAGTTGGTGGTGTTACTGTGTTTTTATGCTTGTGTTCTCTTAATTTTTTTTGTTAAGTTACCTATATCCTGTGTTTTCTTGGGTGTAGTTTATTTCGATAGATTGGAGTTTTCCTTCTAGTATCTTCTGGAGGGCTGGGTTGCTGTGTAAATATTAAGTTTAGTTTTGTCATGAAATATTTTGTTTTCTCCATCTTTGTTGATTGAAAGCTTTGCTGGATATAGTAGTCTGGGTTGGCATCTGTGGTCTCTTAGAGTCTGCATGATATCTGCCCAGGCCCTTCTGGCTTTCATGGTTTCTGTTGAGGAGTCTGTTGTGATTCTTATAGGTCTGCCTTTTTTTGTTGGCCTTTTTTTCCTTGCTGCTTTTCATATTTTTTCTTTGTTTTGTAAATTTAGTGTTTTGACTATCATGTAACATGAGAGTTTCTTGTCTACTGTATTTGGTGTTCTGTAAGCCTCTTGTATGTTTACAGCATCTCTTTCTTTATGTTGGAAAATTTTTCTTCTATGATTTTCTTGAAAATATTTTCTGGAACTTGGAGCCTGGAATCCTGTTTTTAGTCTGTTCCTACTATTCTTACGTTTTGTCTTTTCATGGTGTCCTTGATTATTTGGATGTTTTATGTTAAGATCTTTCCTGATTTTATTTCTTTTTTTGAGAGAAGTATTGATTTCTTTAATTTTGTCTTCAGTACTGAGATTCTCTCTTCCATATCTTGAATTCTGTTGGTGATGCTTACCTTTGTGGTTCCTGATCTTTTCTTCAAGTTCTCCTGCTCCAGGATTTTCTTTCTCCTGTTTTCTTTATTGATTCTAATTCTGTTTTCATGTCCTGCACCATTTCCTTCATCTGTTTGAATGTGGATTCCTGTCTTTCCATGATGGCCTGTATATTTTTGTTTGTTTCCTCTCTACATACTTCTACTTGTGCCTCTACATGTGCCTCTGTTTCTTTGGCTGTATTTTCCTGTATTTCTTTATGAGCATTGTTCATTGCCTCTCTATATGCCTCTACTTGTGCTTCTATTTGTTTGGCTCTGTTTGCCTGTATTTCTTTGAGAGCTTTGTTTGTTTCTGCTTGATGTGCCTCTAATAACAGGATAAGCATAGATTTGAGATCATTTTCCTTTGTTTCCAATGAATTAAAATATCTATCAATTTTGGGGGTTGCTGGTAAAGCCATGATGTCCTGATTTTTGTTGAATGTGTTCTTATGCTGACTTTCGGCCATCTGCTTCTCTGTAATCTTCACTGTTTGTTCCTGAAGTCTGTACCTCAGACTGGATCATCTGTCTCTTTTGTCAGGTGTATTCTTCAGGAAGATGAGAGAGGCCCACTGGTTTGAGAGGGGATGTTGGTGTTTCAGCTGTAGCTAAGGGAGGAAGGTCGCAAACACATGTGTGCAAGTGTGGGAGTGTACGTGGAAGTGTGCCTTGAAAGCGAGGGTGCTAGAGCATGTAGATGCCTGGGAAGTTGGAGAGTAAGCACACACGAGGGGTGCTGGCTCAGTAAGGTGGTGCAGTGTGTAAGCGCAGGTGCCCTAAATACATCAGTGGCCCACAGGCCAGACATACTGTCCTCCAGGTATTCTGTCTGGGTTGCCACCATCTTGGCTCCAGGAATTGTTTGCCTGGACTCCACTGGGAGATCCACAGAATGGGGGCTTCAATGTTGAGAACACTGTTCCAAGGATCCCAGTGTTTCCCACAGTGGGGGTGTGGGTGGAAGGGATCCAATGTCTGGCTGTTAGAAGGACTCTGGACTTGGGGCTTTGCATGTACTCACTTGAAGGTGAAATCACATGAATGTGCCGTCACTTGCTTTTAGGCCTAATTGGAAGACACTGAGGTTCCCCCTCTTCTCTAATCTCAGATTTGGGCCCACAGGGGCAAATGAAAATGTTGGAGATTTGTCAGCTTAGGGGTGTCCACTGTTTGTCCTCCAGGCAGGGAGACCCATACTTGGGGCCTCTGCCTTCTTAGTCACAGAGCACTGAGGCTCCTGCTGGGCAGCTGCAGACCTAGGAAGCCTGTATAACCCCTGCCTCTGCTGTCTCAGTCACCGAGCAAGGAGGCTCCTATTTTTGGCAGAGCTGCTGCTGTGTCAGTCACAGAGCAGGGAGTCTCCTGTTTGGGGCAGCTGCTGTCCACCGAAGCCGCAGACCTGGGGAACCAGTACAGCAGCTGCCTCTGTTGTCTCAGTCACCAAGCAGGCCCTGGAGAGGAGATGTCCATGGGTGACCTGGATCCAAACTGTCCCCTCTCTCTCAGGAAGCCTCAATGTCAATTTTATGACTCCAGCTACCCTCCCCCCCCCCACACACCAATTTTGGAGTTTCAGATTCTGTGCCCCTCAGGTACGGTGCATGCTAGTCACCACCTTCTTGGCTCCTCACTGGTTGTTTTTTTTTTTTTTTAATATAGCTGAAAAGTAACCCGAGGGTACTGTTGCCTTTTACCCATTTTGAGCCCATTTCTTTTCTTCCAGGGATGGCCTGTAAACATCATTACAGCAGATCATGTATCTCCACTCCATGAAGCATGCCTTAGGGGTCATCTTTCTTGTGCAAATGTTTTACTAAGTCATGGGGCTCAGGTATGTGGAATTTAAATAATAGAAAAAAAAACAGCGTTAAAAAAGAAACAAAGAAAGAAAAGTGGCTATTTCTGTCTCTTTAAATAATTTTCAGTACCTTTTTTTGGTCTGGTTTGAAATGTGACGAGTGATATGTTTCAAGAGTATTATGCTCATCAACTGTATATGCTTTATCAGGAGCTGAGATACTTAAATTTTTAGCTAGAAAGTTATATTAATTATTTTTTTTGTTGCTCTGATAAAATACCAAGCCAGAGTAACATATGGAAGAAAGAGTTTATTTGGGTTTACAATTCCAAAGAAATAAGAGTCCATGATGGTGGAGAGGCATGATTGCAAGCAGCAGGAATCTGAGAACTCAAATCTTCAAAAGCAAACAAGAAGCATAGAAGCAAGTGAGACTGTGAATAGCCCCACCTACCATGGACTAAGTGTTCAAATACCTGAGCTTATGGAGAATATTTTCTTCTTCATCATCATCATCGTCGTCTTTGTCTTCTTCGTCTTATCCTCCTTCTCTTCTTCTTCCTCCTCCTCCTTCTTTCTTCTTTGACAGAGAGTCTCTGTGTAGCCCTGGTTGTCCTGGAACTGGAATGTGGCCTCAAAGTCAGTGATCCTCTTTTCTTTGCCTCCTAAATGCTAGGATTAAAGACATGCACCATCACACCTGGTCTATAGGTCTAATACAAATCACCACAAAAGTTGTGCTTAGAGTCTGAAGCGTTTTTTTTTTTTTTTTTTTTTTTTTTTTTTTTTTTTTAACCAGACAACATTAGTACATATTGCTACATAATTGTTATTGGTCTGCTTTCCTGTGGCAGGGGAGATCAAAGGGAGCTTCCTATAGGAAATGATGTCTAATGTGAAATAGAGTGTCCTTAGCTGGCCAAATGTTGAGTTAAAGGAAAGTAAGGGCTTCCATTCACAAGATACAACAAACACAAAAGCCTGGAAGTGAAATTGGACAATATTCATCAATCCATATCTTAGAGCAAGAGAAGAGAGTGTGTGCAAAGGCTTCTTGTCACTTATGACAAAACCACATACAAAAGAAGCGACTGGAATAGTAATATTAATGAAACAGTCACTCTAGGTTCCTGTGGTATTATGGGACCTTGAGAAGGAACATCTCCTTGAAATTTGCACTCTGCATCTTGTATACCATCTAGGTCTTGGCTTTCCAAGACCTTGAAAGAGAGTGTGGTGGTGAATTCAGTCTCTCCCCCCCACAAAACTTCATTTAACAAATGCACCCAATTATATGAAAAGATAGAAGTGTCCATGTATATTTTGGCTTGCTATCTATTGTTTCTTTGTAGCTCAAACATTATGACATGGATACCAGCTTGTATATTTCTGTGAGATTTCTAGCATTAGAAAAAAATAGATCTGAAATCTATAGTTTTCAGTCTTTTTTTAATTTTAATTTTTATTATTATTTACATTTTATTTAGTTTTCAGTCTTGTTAAAAACCAGTTCTGTATCTGTTTGCAACTATATTTAGGTAGCATATTGACTGACTATATAGATTCTTTGACTCAACCCTAACATCTTACCAATTCTGTCATTAATGAATGAACTGAATAAAATCTTTGGTATGTGTTAAGCGTATTTGAGTGAGAATCATCATTTTAAATGAGAAAAAAATATTTTTAAAATCAATTTTGGATTACTCTGGCTACTGTCTAAGAAAGATGCCTAAAATAGAGATGTTAATTTGTAAGCTATGCTATGGAAATCATCACAACTAGTTTCAAAGTTCATGACCCCAAGAAGGGCAGGGTGGTGATAGAGTATTCAGCAACGTTATTACTACCTTGTGTTTTATACTTTGTTCTTTTTTTTTTCCATGACAAACTTCCAGAATTTGGTGGCCCTTGTTTTATATAAAAAGGTGGAATGTAAGGATCAGAGAAGTTAAAAACAAACAAACAAACAAACAAAACAAAACTGAACACTTAGAAAGTAGAAGGATTAACCTTGAATTCTGTCCTGTCTTCTAACTGGAATTGTTTTGTTTTTTTTTTTTTTTTTTTTCCCACAGGTGAATGGCATGACTATCGATTGGCGAACTCCTTTGTTTAATGCTTGCATTAATGGCAGTCAGGAATGTGTGAATCTGCTGCTTCAGTATGGAGCCACTCTTCACCCTGAGGGTGATTTGGCCTCTCCCATCCACGAGGCTGCTAAGCGAGGTAAACCCATTGGGAACTTTAGGGTTTTGCCTAGTCCTTCAAGGAAGCTCTTACTTACTGAAATAGGAAACAAACAAACAAAAAAACGAGAGAGAGAGAGATACTTTCGAGCCATAGGTTTCCAAAGGCGCCTGGTTGGACGAGCACCCATATGATGGGGCTTGCAAATGCAGACTTTTAGGTCCTGTTCCTGCCCCATTTAATCCAGCCCTCACCTCTTGATGGCTCTGACACACATTTAATTGTGAGAATCACTCTTTTAGAGCCATACATCTAGAAAAGGGTATGATAAATACAGAGTAAACTATGGATCATTGTGGAATACCTCATTCCCTAGAAATCAAGGCTTTTGACAAGTAGCACATCTTTAGTTGTATGCAGCAATAGGTTTCTTACTAACGTTTTCAATCAAGGCTATCATGTACCTCAACTGTATTCCACTCTATTTCCCTTTCCTTCCTCCAGCCTTCTTCCTCTTTCCAAGTAGCCTCCTTTCTACTTGTGTGGAGTGTATGCATGCACAAGCTGCATGGGTGCATGTGTGTGTGTGTGCGTGTGTAGTCTAGGTTCCACATATGAGTGAATGTTTAGTTTTGTATTTGTTTTTCTATTTTGCTTAACATGGTGCTCTCCAATTCCCTCCATTCATTCACGCAAACAGTATAATCTCATTCTTTATATATATATACATATATATATATATTTATATTTATTTATTTATTATGGCAGAATAAAACTCCGTGTTGTGCATGTACCATATATATATAAAATCTATTCAGCTTTGAACTCTGATGAAAACAACTCAAGGGAGAAATGGTTTATTTTAGCTCTCAGTTCTATGCTTTCACTAGACTTAGTTTGCTAGACTAGGCCTTGTCCCCATGGGATTTGACAGCTTATAAGGCTTGCCTGTGCTCACTGAGGCCTATTACTTTATGGGCTGTAAGCTTCCTTCCCTGTCCTGTTATACATTCCACGTCCTCCTTCAGGGCCATTGTTAGCCTTGTTTCTCCATGGCACTTTTATAATCAGACTGGTTACAAGCACACAGTTAACAAAAGTGAATCGCTGCTGGTTGCTTCTTATGGCTAGTGACTACAGGTGCCATTCCACTTGCAGCTGCAGGTGACATTTTGTTGATGTTGGGAGTCTGCTCTTTGGCTGACCCTCCTTTTTTGTCAACCAAAGCAAAAGCCTAATTCTCCTCTTCCGGGGAGGAGATGAATGGGCTAGGATGTCTAATGGGGATATCCTAATGTATTTGGAATAGGCATTTACTCTTATGCAAGTGTTTAAAATTATTCTCCATTCTACATAAAAGAATATGGATTTTGATTGCTGGATATATTGGGTATACATTTAAACAACAACACATAGGAATTGTTGTATAACGAATTGATGCTATAAACCCCCCCCCCTTTTTGTTGTTGGATTTTAGGCCATGTTAAGTGCATAGATTCCCTTGCAGCTTATGGAGCTGATATTGATTACTACATCAGCCACCTGGGAACTCCCCTGTACGTGGCTTGTAAAAATCAGCAGTTAGACTGTGCCAAGAAACTTCTCCAGTTAGGTAAGGAAAAAAAAATGAGGAATGAAAATGTAGAGTAAATTAAGTGAATCTTAAAGATCCTTTTGTCATATTAGAGGAAAGAGTGTGGGCAAGGGGATTGAGCGAAACCACCCTGTTCTGATGGGAAGTTGTTTTACACTGTTCAAATTTCAGTTCTCTCACTTCAAACTAGCATGACAACAAAGAAGAAGATGATACCATCCATATGCTTTTCCAGGCTGGTCCTCATTTATCACTAGTTTTTCCTCCCTTTTCTTTGTCTCTCTCTCTCTAGCTGGACAATCATAAGTTCTGCAAAGCTTGCAAAGCTGCTGGGTTTGCAACTTTTGCTGACTTTTTCTGTTTGGGACTGTCTTCCACAGTTCTTTCTGATTAAGAAATTACTCTGCCATAAACATTTTCTTTCTCTTGAAGAGATATACTACTATTTCTTTGCACCTCCTTATGGTTGTCTAGTTCCCATTTCAACTCTGGGAACACTACTGCAACTCTTTCATTATCTGATTTTTGGTTCTTCTTTAAGACTCCAGGAGTCTCTCCTCAACAGTATTTTCATATTCCCTATTTCTTTTCACTTATTTTGTAGCAGTTCTTTTATTTTATTTTTTGGTAGCACTTTTTATTCACCTGTTCTCTCTGCCACTCTCATTCCTTCCTATTACTTTAGGTATGTTTTAAGCTTTGAGGCATTTAAAGCTCTTATCCAGGACACAGCCATATTTGTCACCTCTCACAAAGTAAAATTACTATTCAAAATAATCCACTTAACATGTGTTGAGTGGGCATCAGTGTTTGTGGAGGGAGTCCGCAGCTCAGATAAAAGTGTGAACCTGTACATACCTCAGTTGAGTACCAGGCTCTGAGCAGGCATGAGCATTTACTTAGAGGGTGGAGGCAGAATTGGGAAGGGATGGTCACAGAAATCCACCTTACTCCTAAAGAGAACTTGCCATCCTTCCTGTGGTAACAGGATCCATTATTCCAACTTGGGAAAAAGAAATGCCTCCCTGAATTGGTTGTGTTTAATGACCCAGCTTACATAGTATCAAGACCCATGGCTTTAAATGCAGCACTGGTTGCTTAGTGTATGAATTTGGCTTTTTGATGCATGGAGGCTTTTCCCATCTAGCCTCCTTCTTGGTCCGTGCTATATTGATCATGAATTTTCAGTTTTCATTGTACCCAGGTTTTTCTTGATTGTATCATGCCCATTGACTCCCTATGCTGCACAGCTCACATACTTTCAGTCACATTGTCAAATAAAATTTCCTTTTATTATATTTGTATGAAAGTGTGCATGCTCATGGGGTGGGGGGATGTACATGTGTATGCAGGTGTGTATGTGTGTGTGCTCAAGGAGACCAGAGGTCAACCTTAGGTATTGCTCCTCAGGAGCCATCTAGTTTGGTATTGGAACTCCATCTCTCACTGAGACCTGGGGCTCACTGGTTAGGCTAGGCCAGCTTCAAGGATCTGTTTCCATTCCTCAGCATGCTGGGATTAAAAGCATGTGCTACCGCACAAACGTTTTTTTTTTTCTCTGGGTCCTGGAGACTGAACCCAGATTCTCATCCTTTCATGACAAGCACTTCACCAACAGAACTGTATATTCAGTGTCTAATTTCCTTATTTATATTAAATGACATAAAATAAAATCAGTTCTCAATCTCCCCAAATTGTGTTCATTAGAATTTCCCATATTTAAAGTATTTTGAGATTCTGTGTTTTAGGGGATGGCTAGACACTACTCTTTGATGACTGTTTGTTCTTGTGACTATTTAGGAGCATCCGTGGATCAAGGCAAAGGCTTGGACTCTCCTCTCCATGTGGTGGCTAGGTTATTCAGTGGGGAGCTTGTGCACCTGCTCATGGACTTTGGAGCAAATGCTTACGCTAAGAACGCTGAAGGCAAACGTCCTGTGGAGCTGGTGCCTCTGGGGAGTCCTCTGTTCGAGAGCTTCTTGGAGAGAGAAGGTGCCTCTCATTTGCCCAGAACTAAGCCCTAACCCATAGAGACTCCTTTTGATCTCTAGTGTGAGCCCAGTATTAAATAAGTTCTAACTTTCAATCTTATAAAAGAGCACTCTGCCCATCACCATGCAGGGGTGATAATTTGGGGAGATTGAGAACTGATTTTATTTTATGTAATTTAATATAAATAAAGCAATTGGACACTAAATATACAGTTCTGTTGGTGAAGTGCTTGTCATGAAAGTATGAGAATCTGGGTTCAGTCTCCAGCACCCAGAAAAAAAAAGTGTGTGCAGTAGCACATGCTTTTAGTCCCAGAATTCTGAGGAATGGAAACAAGGCACATAATGGCTTCTGAAATAAATAGCCTTTTTTGCTGTTTCATACGTTGGAGTCCGCCTGGTGTGCTAGGTTTTAAAGAGGTCAGATATTACTTAAAAATATTTGATATTAAAGTTAACCGAAGCACTATTTTTAGAGCAGTGGTTCTCAACCTTCCCAATGTTTCGACACTTTAATGCAGTTCCTCCTGTGGTGGTGACTTGCAACCATAAAATTATTGCCGTTCCTACTTCCTAACCGTAATTTTGCTACTGCTATGAACTGTAATGTAAATATCTGTGTTTTCTGATGGTCTTAGGCAACCCCTGTGAAATAGTTGTTTGACTCCCCGAAGGAGTCATTACCCAGGAATTGGGAAAGCTTCTTTAGAGTGATTTAGCAGAAACCTCCTAGTGATTGTCTGATTACCCAAGCTGTCTAAACTGTCCTGTACATGAGTCAAACCACTGAGGAATTGATTGCTGTGGTAAAGATGCAGCTAACTGAGAGTTTAGAGCTTTTGCTTAATGACTCACAACAATCAAGATACACTTATTCTTGCAAGCTTACCGCAACGCCTCCATATATAAGAACTCACAATCTCACCAAATAACTAAACAATGGTGTAGCACAGAAGAAGGGGCAAAGACCTCTGCAGGTTGTGAGGATACCTGATTGCATTCTTAGATCTTGGAGACCATCTAGGATCTGCCTTCTTACTCGGGTGTTGATTGTGCTTTGTTTCTGGAATGTGGGACTTTGAAGCAGGCTTTCCTACCTGAAGGACTCTAATGTCAAATAAGCTGTTATTGTCTTCCTGCAAGCTGAGAAGTAGGGCTGGCCCTGGGTAGAGTGATAAAATGGACCTAGGGTTTTTTTCTACTTCCATTGTGCCAGGGCAGTTGCCTATCTTGCAGTTTCCTGCACTCCTTAGCATTGCTGCCAGGCTAAGAAAGACTGATGTAGGCAGAAGGAATCAACCAGAGACCTCTTTCCATTAAACTGTGGCATAATCATTGAGCATTTCTGTCTGCATTTTGGTGATTTCTTGTTTTGGGAAAAAAAAATCTATGTAGACGTACAGGGCTGCTTTATCTTATAGTTCCTCAGGGCCCACAGAAATACTTTAATTTCTATTAAAAGAGAAGAAAGATGAATAAAACCTAACCAATATTATATTCATCGTCATACTAACAGTTGTAGAATAAAAGTTTTAGTATTTTTTTATTGGGATTGTGATACACAGAGGCAGTTGCGTCTCAGGGACCGCTAAAGTCACATAATGGGATGACTCCTTCCTCTTCATATAGTCTTGTAAGATTTTCAGATTGTCTTTGTTGGTATTTTATTTTATTTTATTTTATTTTATTTTATTATTTTATTTTATTTTATTTTGAGACAGGGTCTCTCAATGTAGTCCTAGCTGTTCTGACACTATGTAGATCAGGCTAGCCTTCAACTCACAAAGATCCCTCTGCCTCTGCATGAGTGTTGGGATTAAAGGTGCCACCATGCCTGGCTTAGAGTTTTCTTTCTACTTCATTTTCCAAAGCTATTGTTAGAAACCTAAGTTATCCTTAATTTCTTTATTTCACACTTCACGTGGTGACAGTAGGACCTATGATTTTACTACTGGTTTAGGAGTGTAGCTTGGTGGTAGAGCACATGCTTACTATAATGAAAAACTCTAGGTTTCATCTTAAGGAACCTCAAACAAAATGTAATTTGCCATTGAAGAAAATCACCTCTGTTTTGCCTTTACAAGTCACTTTTAGGATTCTGGTGAGGCAGTTTTAAGCAGACCCACTGGAAATGATCCCAGGCAAGCACAAATAGTTAGACCTGCAGATGTAATACATCAGTTTCTGTCTCTGGGTTTCCTTTATTAGTCATCTTACCTGATGTTTGCTTTGTGCTCAGGGAAGCAACTTAATTAAGTCACTGTCTTTCTTCAAGGGTATGGGGACTATGGAGTATTAGCAGCGACTTAATTGCGCTCTGAGTTGGGCCTTGCATATTACAGGTAAAATCCTCCCTTTCTTTGGAAGCTAAGGGAAAGGATTTCAAGATTCTTCTTGCTCTTGGCACCTAAAACAGTGTTCTCTCATGGCACAGATTGAAATCGTGAAACGACTCCCAACAACCTTACTCTGAAGTCCTCTTCTGAGGACCTCCCACAGTTGTCTCTGAAAGTGCATCTGGCACACATGATTTATTAGTCACATCCTCTTAACACTCCTTAGTGAAGTTAAGTTAGCTTCCATTTCTCCCATAGTGTATGCTGTGAAGTTTGTGGGTCTGTGCCTTGAACATAATCTGAAAGGTGTCCTAACTTCCAACCAATCCCTTCTAGAAAGTGCTCTTAGGACCCATCTAGATTATACACTTTTCTCTGACTATATTTGTCTTCACTTCTTGTTCTCCATCACGTGAGAAACTTGTAGCTAAGTTTACTTGTAGCTTGTGTTGAAGCTACAAGACAGTAGAGGCCACAATTGCAGTTTTAAGATGGACTTTACAGTAGAATTACCTAGGCCCATGCTTCAACAAAATCCAGATGCACAGGCACAAAACAACAATAACTGAAGCAATGTCTCTGGGGTAGGACACAGCATCATGTAGTTAAAACTTCCCCAACTCCAGCCAAATCTAAATTGTACCATGGATTGAAGGCTGTTGTTTTCTGGAAATATTATGGGTATATAGTTTTCTTTTAAAAAAATTAACAAAAAAGAATTTCCATTTTAATTTGTTTTAAGGAGCTGGGTTGGGGGTGGGGATTATACCTTGCCTTTTATACTGTAATATGGGTTCTAATTTGGTACCATTGACAGTTGGAGTCAGGAACTGTGTTATACATAGATGCTAGGAAGTAATGCTATCATTTTCTCAAGTTAATGGTAATCAAAAGTGTCTCAAGATGTTGACTAATGTCCTCTAGAGAGAAAACACTGCTCTTTTCTTTTTCCTTACAAAGCCTGTTGAAACCACCAACCTAAAATATAAACTCTTGGATGTTCCCTATGGAAGTTTATGTAAGTTCACTTTTCACCCATGAGCTAAAGTTTAAAGTGAACTAACATAAACTTTTAAAAAATATTTTATTTTATTAATTACACTTTATTCACTTTGTATCTCCCCACACAGGGGGAGGTGATCAAAGAGCAGGCCAATCAGTTCATGTCAGAGGCAGTCCCTGTTCCCATTACTATGGAACCCACTTGGACACTAAACTGCTATGGGCTACATCTGTGCAGGCTTCTAAGTTATTTCCATGCATGGTACTTGGTTGGAGTATGAGTCTCTGAGAAGATCCCTGTGTTCAAATTTTCTGATTCTGTTGCTCTCCTTGTTGGGTTCCTGTCCTCTCCAGCTCTTACTATATCCCACTTCTTACATAAGATTCCGTGCACTCTGCCCAACAGTTGGCCATAAGTCTCAGTGTCTGCTTTGATAGTCTGCAGGGCAGAGCCTTTCAGAGACCCTCTGTGGCAAGTTCCTAGGTTGTTTCCTGTTTTCTTCTTCTTCTGATGTCCATCCTGTTTACCTTTCGGGAAGGGATTGAGCGTTTTAGTCAGGGTCCTCTCTCTTGATTAGTTTCTTTAGATGTACAGATTTTAGTAGGTTTATCCTATGTTATATGTCTATATGAGTGAGTATATACAGTGTGTATCTTTCTGCTTCTGGGACAGCTCACTCAGGATGATCTTTTCCAGGTCCCACCATTTACCTGCAAATTTCATGATTTCCTTATTTTTCATTGCTGAGTAATATTCCATTGTATAGATGTACCACAATTTCTGCATCCATTTTTCAGTTGAGGGGCATCTGGGCTGTTTCCAGCTTCTGGCTATTACAAATAAAGCTGCTACAAACATGGTTGACCAAATGTCCTTATTGTGTATTTGAGCCTCTTTTGGATATATGCCTAGGAGTAGTATGGCTGTATCTTGAGGAAGCGCTATTTCTAGTTGTCTGAGAAAACACCAGATTGCTTTCCAGAGTGGTTGTACAAGTTTACATTCCCACCAGCAGTGGAGGAGGGTTTCCTTTTCTCCACAACCTCTCCAGCATAGCATAAACTTTTTTACATACTTTACTAATATAAAGTTTTTTACAGAACAGAAAAATCTTTAAATTGCTAAAATTATAACATAAAATACTTGCATCTAGAAATATGATTTAATTTTTAAGATTAAAATACTATGAAATGTTAACTTTATTTTTTTATGATAGGAATTTTTTTATTAATTTTATTTTTTTCTTATCAGTTACATTTTATTAACTCTGTATCCCAGCCGTGTCCCGCTCCCTCATTCCCTCCCAATCCCACCCTCCCTCCCTCATCTCCACCGTGCCCCTTTCCAAGTCCACTGATGGGGGGGACCTCCTCCCCATTCATCCGATCCTGTTTTATCAGGTATCTTCAGGACTGGCTTCGAAGCTCTCCTCTGTGGCCTAACAGGACTGCTCCTCCCTTGTGGGGTGGGGAGGTCAAAGAGCCAGTCATTGAGTTCCTGTTAGAAATAGTCCTTGTTCCCCTCACTATGGGAAACCAATTGGTTACTGAGCTACCACAGGCTACATCTGAGCAGAGGTTCTAGGTTATATCCATACATGGTCCTTGGTTGAATGTCAGTCTCAGAAAAGAACCTGTGCCCAGAATATATTTGGTCCTTGTGGAGCTCCTATCCTTTCCCCATCATACTAACTCCCCTTCTTTCATATGATTCCCTGTACTCTGCTGAAGGTTTGGTCATGAGTCTTTGTATCTGCTTTGAAAACACTGCTAGGTAGAGTCTTTCAGATGCGCTCAGTAGACTCCTGTCATATGTTCAATGCACATCCCATCTGTCTTTCTAAATGAGGATTGATCATCTTACCCCATGTCCGCTCTCTTGATTATCTTTTTTAGGTGTACAGATTTCATTATGTTTATCATATCTTATAGGTCTATATAAGTGAGTATATACCGTGTTTGTCTTTCTCCTTCTGGGATATTTCACTCAGAATGATCTTTTCTAGATCCCACCATTTGCCTGTGAATTTCATGATTTCCTCCTTTTTGATTGCTGAGTAGTATTCCATTGTGTAAAAATACCACGATTTCTGTACCCATTCCTCCGTTGATGGACATCTGGGTTGTTTCCAGGTTCTGGCTATTACAAATAAAACTGCTATAAACATGGTTGAGCAAATATCCCTTTTGTGTCCTTGAGCAAAGTTTGGGTATATACCTAGCAGTGGTATAGCTGGGTCCTGAGGAAGCACTATTCCTAATTGTTTTAGAAAGCGCCAGATAGATTTCCAGAGTGGTTGTACCAGTTTACATTCCCACCAGCAGTGGAGGAGGGTTCCCCTTTCTCCACAACCTCTCCAGCATGGAATTTTTGTATAGCTCTTTAATTCCCAAGTTAGTTTCCTTAAACCTCAGTTAGTGAGGTAAACTTTTAAATATCTTTCACTTGTCTTAAGTGAAAATCCAATGAGGGATGGAGATGGCTGAGCAGTTAAGAGTGCTTCCTGTTACTGCAGAAGATTGAGGTTTTGTCCCCAGCACCCACATCTGGCAGCTTACAACCATCTGTAACATACATGATCTTATGCTCATTATACACATGCATATAGATTTAAAAAAAAAAACAACAAAAAACCTTAAAAGATCAAATGATTTTACTTCAGTTATATACAGGAAAAGAGAGAACATGGTCTCAAAATGCTTCCTTCATATAAGCAAATAACAATCAGTAAAAAAAAGAGACCATGAATTTAAAAAAGAGAGCAAGGAGAGGTTATGAGACTGTTTGAATGGAAGGAGAAATTGATGTAATTATATTATAATTAAAAAATAAAAGTAAAATCACAAGGGAACATGGTCTTAAGCGTATAGTATTTCTGTATAAGAATGTTATATATCTTATGATAAGACAGTCCCAGATCAGCCAAACCAATGTGTGACTTGTTCATGTTCTTTCTCCAGGACCTCCGTCTTTGATGCAATTATGCCGCCTGAGAATCCGGAAATGCTTTGGCATTCGGCAGCATCATAAGATTTGTGGACTCCTGATTCCAGAGGACCTGAAGCACTTCATTTTACACCTTTAATTGTGCATGGAGCGGATCCACAAACAACTGAAAAATGCTGTTGAAACTTCTACCACTGAAGTTTCAGATAAATTTGTTTATAATGTTTGTCTAGTGTTTTCTTTTTAGTTCTTTTTTTTTTCAGTAAGACCTTTAATATCAATAAGAGCACAGCAGGTACATTCTATTATTGGTTAGAGAATGTGAAGACTGCCTGTTTTCTGCTTAAACATGACTGTCTAAAAATAGCTATTGGTTTTGAACATGTTGTATATGCCAGTCACTAAGCAAGGAGCACTTTGTATTTCACCTAGTTGAACCTTCACAGCAAACTGCCCAGGTACCTCAGGTAATACTCCGAAGCTCAGACTGATCAATATATCTAATTAACCATATCAAGGACAGAGGAGCCAGATACAAATTTAAATTATCGGTTGTTAACCTGGTCAGTTTCAGCTAAGACAGAATTTTCTGTTATTATGGTCCTGGCTCCATCTCTATGACATGGAAAAGGAGACAAAGATGGACAATGTTTCTTTGCTTGTGTCTATGCTGTTAACTTTTTGTCACTGTATGGCATGATTATGGCTGCATTATATAGTAGATTTACTAAGGAGATTTGTACTACTGGGAATTCTCAGTTGTGCATGATTTGGCATCTAGCTGGTTGGAGACTAGGGTTTTCCTAACAATTATATGCTCACAGAATAGCTTCTCAATCACAACAAAGCATTATCCAGGTCAACATGTGGAAACTTCTATTGGACAGGAAATCTTCCTGAGATAGTCAGTTAACAAATTTTTTTTTATTATTATTTTCTTTTTAGTTACATTTTGTTAACTCTGTGTCCCAGCTGTATCCCGCTCCCTCATTCCCTCCCCAACCCCACACTCCCTCCCTGGTCTCCTCCCTGCCCCTTTCCAAGTCCACTGATAGGGGAGGACCTCCTCCCCTTTCATCTGACCCTGTTTTATCAGGTATCTTCAGGGCTGGCTGCAAAGTCCTCCTCTGTGGCCTAACAGACGGCTCCTCCCCTGGGGGGGGGTGAAACAGCCTGCCCTTGAGATACTGTTAGAAATAGTTCGTGTTCCCCTTACTTTGGAAAACTACTTGGTTACTGAGCTACCACGGGCCACATCCGAGCAGAAGTTCTAGGTTATATCCATAGATGGTCCTTGGTTGAGTGTCAGTCTCAGAAAAGACCCTGTGCCCAGATATGTTTGGTCCTTGTAGAGCTCCTATCCTTTCCATATCATACTAACTTCCCTTCTTTCATATGATTCCCTGCACTCTGCCGAGGGTTTGGTTATGAGTCTTAGTGTCTGCTTTGAAACACTGCTAGGTAGAGTCTTTCAGATGCCTTTTGTGGTAGACTCCTGTCATAAGTTCAATGCACATCCCATTTGTCTTTCTAAATGAGGATTAATCACCTTCGCCTGTGTCCACTTTCTTGATTATCTTCTTTAGGTGTGTAGATTTCATTATGTTTATCATATCTTGTAGGTCTATATAAGCGAGTATATACCAAGTTTGTCTTTCTCCTTCTGGGATACTTCACTCAGAATGATCTTTTCTAGATCCCACCACTTGCCTGCAAATTTCATGATTTCCTCCTTTTTGATTGCTGAGTAGTATTCCATTGTGTAAAAATACCACAATTTCTGTATCCATTCCTCCGTTGATGGACATCTGGGTTGTTTCCAAGTTCTGGCTATTACAAATAAAGCTGCTACGAACATGGTTGAACAAATGTCCTTGTTGTGTACTTGAGCAAATTTTGGGTATATACCTAGGAGTGGTATAGCTGGGTCTTGAGGTAGCACTACTCCTAGTTGTCTGAGAAAGCGCCAGATTGACTTCCAGAGTGGTTGAACCAGTTTACATTCCCACCAGCAATGGAGGAGGGTTCCCTTTTCTCCACAACCTCTCCAGCGTGTGCTATCACTTGAGTTTTTCATCCTGGCCATTCTGATGGGTGTAAGGTAAAATCTCAGGGTCGTTTTGATTTGCATTTCCCTAATGGCTAATGAGGTTGAGCATTTCTTTAAGTGTTTCTCTGCCATTCGATGTTCCTCTTTCGAGAATTCTCTGTTTAGCTCTGTTCCCCATTTTTTAAGTGGATTACTTGGTTTGTTGCTTTTCTGCTTCTTTAGTTCTTTATATATACTGGATATTAGCCCTCTGTCAGATAAAGGGTTGGTGAAGATTCTTTCCCAATCTGTAGGCTGCCTATTTGTTTTGATGACAGTGTCTTTTGCTTTACAGAAGCTTTTCAGTTTCATGAGGTCCCATTTATTGATTGTTGCTCTTAGAGCCTGTGCTGTTGGTGTTCTGTTCAGGAAGTTGTCTCCTGTGCCAATGAGTTCTAGGCTGTTTCCCACTTTTTTTCCCAACTGATTTAGAGTATCTGGTTTTATGTTGAGGTCCTTGATCCACTTGGACTTTAGTTTTGTGCAGGGTGATAAATATGGATCTATTTTCATTTTTCTGCATGTAGACATCCAGTTGGTCCAGCACCATTTGTTGAAGATGCTGTCTTTTTTCCATTGAATGGATTTGGCTTCTTTGTCAAATATTGAGTATTCATAGGTGTGTGGGTTTATTTCTGGGTCTTCTATGCGATTCCATTGATCCTCCTTTCTGTTTCTATGCCAATACCATGCAGTTTTTATTACTGTTGCCCTGTAGTACAGCTTGAGATCGGGAATGGAGATACCTCCAGATGATCTGTTGTTGTACAGGATCGTTTTGGAGATTCTGGGTGTTTTGTTTCTCCATATGAAGCTGAGAATCTTTTTTTCAAGGTCTGTAAAGAATTGAGTTGGTATTTTGATGGGAATTGCATTGAATCTGTAGATTGCTTTTGGCAGGATGGCCATTTTCACAATGTTAATCCTACCAATCCATGAGCACGGGAGATCTTTCCATCTTCTGAGATCTTCTTCAATTTCTTTCTTCAAAGACTTGAAGTTTTTCTCAAACAGGTCTTTCACTTGCTTGGTTAGAGTCACACCAAGGTACTTTACGTTATTAGTGGCTATTGTGAAAGGTGTTGTTTCCCTAATTTCTTTCTCAGCCTTTTTGTCTTTGGTATACAAGAGGGCTTCTGATTTTTTTGAGTTGATTTTGTATCCTGCCACTTTGCTGAAGGTGTTTATCAGCTGAAGAAGTTCTCTGGTTGAATCTTTGGGGTCGCTCATGTATACTATCATATCATCTGCAAATAATGACACTTTGACCTCTTCCTTTCTGATTTGTATCCCCTTGATCTCCTTTAGTTGTCTTATTGCTCTGGCTAGGACTTCAAGTACAATGTTAAAGAGATGTGGAGAGAGTGGGCAGCCTTGTCTTGTCCCTGATTTCAGTGGGATTGATTTAAGTTTCTCTCCATTGAGTTTGATGTTGGCTATAGGTTTGCTGTATATCGCCTTTACTATCTTTAGGTATGTGCCTTGTATCCCTGATCTAAGACTTTAAACATAAATGGGTGTTGTACTTTGTCAAATGCTTTTTCAGCATCTAAGGAGATGATCATGTGTTTTTTCTCCTTCATTTTGTTTATGTGGTGGATTGCATTGATGGATTTCCGTATGTTGAACCACCCTTGCATTCCTGGGATGAAGCCTACTTGGTCATGGTGGATGATATCTTTGATGTGTTCTTGGATTCGGTTTGCAAGTATTTTATTGAGTATTTTTGCATCAATGTTCATAAGAGAGATAGGTCTGAAGTTCTCTTTTTTTGTTGGATCTTTGTGTGGTTTAGGTATCAAAGTGACTATGGCTTCATAGAATGAGTTTGGTAGTGTTCCTTCTATTTCTATTTTGTGGAATAGTTTGAGGAGAATTGGTGTTAGTACTTCTTTGAAGGTCTTGTAGAATTCTGCGCTGAAGCCATCTGGTCCAGGGCTTTTTTTGGAGGGGAGACTGTTAATGACTGCTTCAATTTCCTTGGGAGATATAGGGCTATTCAGTCTTTCTACCTGATCTTGACTTAATTTTGGTAGATGGAATCTGTCAAGAAAGTTATCCATTTCATTTAGATTTTCAAATTTTGTGCCATATAGGCTTTTGTAGTATGACCTAATAATCGTTTGGATTTCCTCAGTGTCTGTAGTTATGTCCCCATTTTCCTTTCTGATTTTGATGATTTGTATGGTTTCTCTCTGCTTTTTAGTTAGTTTGGCTAAGGGTTTGTCTATCTTGTTGATTTTCTCAAAGAACCAGCTTTTTGTTTCATTGATTCTTTGGATAATTTTATTTGTTTCTAATTGATTGATTTCTGCCCTTACTTTGATTATTTCCAGCCTTCTGCTCCTCTTGGGTGTATCTGCTTCTTTTTTTTTCTAGGTTTTTCAGTTGGGCCATTAAGTTGTTTGTATGTGATGTTACAGATTTCTTCTTGTAGGCACTTAGTGCTATAAATTTTCCTCTGAGCACTGCTTTCAATGTATCCCATAAATTTGGGTATGTTGTGCCTTCATTTTCATTGAATTCTAGAAAGTCTTTAATTTCTTTCTTTATTTCTTCCTTGACCCAGCTGTCATTGAGTAGTAAGTTGTTCAGTTTCCATGTGCGTGTCGGCTTTTTGTTGTTTCTGTTGTTGATGTCCAGCTTTAGTCCATGGTGGTCAGATAGTATACAAGGGATTATTTCAATCCTTTTGTATCTGTTGAGGCTTGCTTTGTGACCAACTATATGGTCTATTTTGGAGAAGGTTCCATGTGGTGCTGAAAAGAAGGTGTACTCTTTTGAGTTTGGGTGAAAAGATCTGTAGACGTCTATTAGGTCCATTTGATTTAGGGATTCTGTGAGTGCTTTTATTTCCCTATTTGGTGTCTGTCTGGTTGATCTGTCCCTTGATGAGAGTGGGGTGTTGAAGTCTCCCACTATTAAGGTATTAGGATCAATGTATGATTTAAGCTTTAATATTGTTTCATTTACGAATGTAGGTGCTCTTGTATTTGGGGCATAGATATTCAAAATTGTGATGTCCTCTTGTTGGATTTTTCCTTTGATGA